ATTAATTCATTGCTGAAAAACTTTCCTAAGGGACAAATATGTCTTGCAGTGTTTGCCTGAATGAACACATTTTCCATGAAGCTCGGAGAGAGAGACAGAGGTCAACTTGAGTCGAGAGCTGTTTAGTGCTACAGTGAGCGGCGTCTCCCAAGAGATGTGGTTCAGGATTGCTTTGAGAGCTATTGGTTCGGAAGATTCCACCAAATATATTTTGATATAATTATGATATGGAGTGAGTGAGTGAGTGAGTTAAAATTTAACGTCACATCGGCAATATTTCAGCCATATCGTGACGAGAACAATTAATTTTATACATAATAAGCAAGGGCAAACTATAAAAACCTGTCAACGAAGGACAGTAAAATAACTAGATTATCACAGATTCGAATTTAAAACTAGCAATCAAATCTAAAACAGTCTAACTATAGGACAATACAAGGTAAAAACCGGCTATATATTGCCAACAACTGAAGGTAGATCACCATACTAAATTATTATATGGAACTACCTTGCTTTCAGGGGTCATTTCAAAGACTTAAAAAATATGTGGCCCCACACTGGGGTGAAATGTGGTAGAGCGAACTTTCAAGTAATCATGTAGGAAATATGGAACACATACTTGCTATTTCAAGAAGCAGAAGAGCCTTTTTGTAAATTGATCACTGACAAATATATTGGTGGCGTTACTGATTATCATACACAATAATTATGTGTAGCAATGCATGAGGGTGTTATCTTCTTGAATATTGTGCACACTGATTAAACTCTCACACAACCGGGTACCCCTTTACATATACGTGAAACAGACCCTTGGTTCGTTTGACATGAGCCTAACGTTCTTTGGATAGAGACTACATTTAAGGACATATTCGTCTGTATGTTTTGTTGCCGTGAAATACCACATAGTTCACCCGGATCCACACACAATGTAGAGCAACATAAGGGAGAATCCTTGTTGCAACCGCACAGTTACTGCTCGTATATTGCAACCTGTTGATACTGTTGTATAGTGTTAAGACACTGACACACCCACTCGGACACATCACACAGACTCCGAGTTCTTGGCTTCTCACCTTCATGTCGAGCGTCAGTTTGGGTAAATACAAGTACCATGTGTTAACGTCTTTTGGTGTGACGAGGACATGAGATTAAACAACCTAGCCTTCTTCCTCTAGACAAATGCACTATCCCCTATACCAAGGTAAAGTGTTTCTAACAACAGCTGTATCCCAACTGTGGACTGATTTGCAACCTAAACGATTACTTGCGCCTGATGTGTGATAAGAACATGTTCGTTAGCGATTCTGAAGCAAGCGTCTAACTCTCTAAACACGAGATCAACAGATAACAGATTAACACTTTTAGTCCACCTTACCCCATCTTATTTTGATTGGATCAGAACCATGCGTCTGTTAGTCGAACGTTTTAATATTGAATTAGAGTCATGCATCTGGTAGTCGAACGCTTTTATGTCGACTCATATTCATGCATCTGCAAGCCTAAAGCTTCCAAATTCAATCAGAATAACTCGTATGACAATCGCTCTATATTGCCTGATGATAGCCTGTGGTGATCAGAGGCAATTCTAGTTAGGATTTAACGCTGCACTAGGCAGCTACACGACACATGTCTATAACTAATCAAGACTTGATCTGACATTATGAGCATCGACCTATGTAATCAGAAACTATACTATTACCCTCCTTGGTGCCCAATTCCGGAATAAAGCGTCTTCAATCTCGCTTCAATCACTCGTAACAAATATATATGATGCCATCGAGCAGAACGAGATTACGGCGCAAGAACACAATAGCCTCTGTTGGCAATCTCACAATCTTCAGGAAATTTAATCAATAGTATCGTAAACCAGGAACATGATTTCCTCAGGAAAGTGTCTGTAATTGATTCTTGATTGTTCGTCATTCGTATGTCAATCGGTCCAAACTATTTCTTGACATTGGTTTCCAATGTTGTGAGGAGGCACAGTGGAAGGAAATAGAACTCTGAGCAGTAAGACGTTGTCGCACGTAACGAAATATAACGCTAAAATGCCACTCAGATCTCCCTGTTTGCAACGGGAAAAGAATCTGTGTTGAGACGTTGCATTCACGAAATAAGAGACGTTGTAATCCATGAAATACGTCCTGATTTAATCCTTCCTCGATTCATGCCTAAGACCCAGGGCCTAGACTTTCGAAGCTCTCTTTGCCAAAGATAGTCGTAAGTGCCATACATTAACATCAATGAGTTCCTCACATGGATATACCAAGTGAAGCCATTCTTGCAGTGATATTGCTGGATAATTCAGAACAGCATAAACTGATACTCACACGGCAATGCCTTGAGTACCCTTAGACACAGCAAAAGGGTTTAACTTCAGGAGTGTGTCATCTTTTGTTTCAATAACAACAAAACGTGGCCAGTACTCAATTTGTTTGGGCAGTCGGAAGTCGTTTTCCGGAGGGTCATTTTCAAGAGGACGTTTGCTCTTTTTAGTGGGGGTTGCGTAAGCCATGTTGAGTTTTTGTAAATTTCATCATCCGAGCTCCCCACCCACCACGGAGTATCACAAGGACAATGCTAAAAAACAAGTGGGTCTCCGACTTGCAGCACCAAGGATACTCGGATGATATACTCATGCAGAAAAACTAAAAGATTAATTTTTCCACCAGATTGGCCCATGAGCCACCGCCTTCTTGGCATAAGACTCTAGGCAAAGTTCATAATATACATATAACAAAGTCAAATGCTGTTCAATAAGAAAGGGTGCCAAGACCAAAATGTAAACAATTCCAAATAAAATTGTGTGCAGTTACGTAAAAGCCATGCACAGGGCTTGGCGTGACCAGCCGATTGATAGAACCGGGCCAGTTCTACCACCCGTCTAGGTGAAGTAAGGGCCGAAGTGGTGTGTTGGGCAAAGGAACGCTGTTCCTTGAACCAATGCCCTCAACCACCAGAATCCCGTCCTCCACCGACACAGGGGCGCAACCCACGGCAAACGGGTGGTGGACCAAATATACCCCCGGGTCCACAACGGGGGGTCGAAGAGCTCTTGGCGTTACCCAGCACCCACCACGAGGAGGTGGCTTTTCACGGGTGCCCACTACTCAATAAGAAATTCCGAGAAACGGCAATAATATATTAATGGCAATATTTAAATAACTGCAGTACCGTTCTATTACCATTATTTTTCGTCCAGACACGCTAGTTCTTCGTGCCTTGACAACAGTCTTCAGTGGGGGCAACTTCCAGCTTCCGTAATTCGTAATATAAGAATCACAGAAATAAAAGTAGGTTTAATTTCGATTTGAGTTTAGGCTTAGCCAATAGGCAGGCCTATATGCCAGTATCAGAATGACAGCTACTGTGGGACCGTAACTACCGCAGCGCCTCCAGCGGGCAAGGGGGCACAACTCCAGGAATGTTCCCCATTAGAAGATATAGTACAGGGAGTAATCATTATTGCATTTTTTGGGATGATGTGCGGTAGTGACATCAAACCTTGTGACGAAGTTTGACCTTTTTAACAAAATGTTTTTTTCCATAAATAAACTGAGATAATTAGATACCATAAATTTTCTTTTGATTTTGACTTAAGTTTGTCGCGTACACACATATACCATAAATATGCACGACTTTTGAGAATGACTCATATATAAATTAGTATATAATGAAACAACGAAGGTTGAGGCTTAAAAAGGATGGCTTTAAAAGGGAAGCCAACAGTACACATACACACACACACACACACCTTGTGTCTCATTAGTTTTGTTGTTCTTGCATGTACATACATGCTCTCTGCCCCATAGCATTCATTTATAACATCATTTAAAGTAGTGGAATGGTGATATGTGGCCCTTGTGAGAGAGAAATCTCCATAACAAATTCGACACTAGTCTTCTCATATTCAGAAGAAATCTTTGTGTAAAGCAGAATCGATTGAACGATTCCGGCTCTATGGTTTATAAATCACTGTTAATTATATACATGCCTGGTACCATGAGTTAGCGAGCAGGCGCACGTATTCTGTCCAACTGTAAAGGCAGAGACATTAAAATGACGGTATCGTCACAGATACTAACATATAGTCTCACCGTGATTTCAAGGATTAAACAAAAAAATATATATATTGTCTCCACGACAAAGTAATTAAAAAATAAAAGCTCTCAGAGAAACAATGCTGGAACGCATGTTCCTGACCGGGATAGTTCTCCCATACCTTTATATGAATGACTATACATTTACAAATACTACATCTAACAGAAAGGCAAGACGGGAAACGGAGAAACCTACATTACTCTCCCTCACCGTTTTGTTTCCGTAAATATACATGTACACGTACATTCCTAAAAACCTGCTCATGCACAGGATTAGGTAATTGCTAATTGGTATAAAGTCAACATTAACTTTTCAAGTGTCTTTCAATAGACATCCCAACAAGACTTGGTAACCAACAAATAACGATGTCGTAAAGGAGCATACAACATTATGGATAATAATAATAATAATAATGTATTTATAAAGCTTCTATTTATCACAACTTCTTGTATATTACATTGATAGATGTAGTGTCTAACACCGTTATGAAGCTAAAAAGTGACCACAACCAAGTAATGAGATGTGTATATAGATACAGAGTATGATATGACAAAAAGCAGATTAACATCAACATCAGCATGTGATTAAATAACACGTGTCAAATAATTGGATTACCTTCAGTTGTTGGAAATCTATAGCCTGTTTTTACATTGTCTTGTCTTGACTGAAGATATAGTGACTGATTATTAAGGAGAAAGTAGCAAGTTTCACTTGCTTTGTGGTTATAATTCTAATATGTGTGCAATCAATCATTTGGTACTAATTGTTCATTCCTTTCCTTAGGTTCTAGAAGTCTCGTTCAACCGATTCTACTTATAAACCTTCAGAAGTTGCACTTAGCAAATTAAAGCAGGTGTTCATCAAGATAAACTCCCCAAGGTGGAGGTGGCAGTTATCTGTCGATAGCAAACTCCTCTGTTTATTAGAGGTTTGCAGACTCCGTCAGGTGGACTATCAAGTCAATGCTGTCACTTTCCGACCGGTATTACGACACCTTGGAACATGGCTCTCGTAATGACAGCAGTTTATATGTTGTTGCTTCTTCTGCATACAATAGTGGTAGGAGTTCAGGGAAATGGAGATGTCATCTCTGGACAACTTGTGTCTGGCGTGTTCAAAGAGATCCATGTCCCCAGCTTCACCTTGTGTCAGTCTCTGTGTTGGTACTTCACTCGTTGTAGGGCTTACACCTGGGCTACAGACACGGGCTTGTGTCACCTCAGCCGAGACACCAGGAGCTCATCACCTGCCGCCTTCTCTCCAAGCAACCACCATGTATACTCGGACGCCATGGCGCCTCTTGGACTGGTATGTGGCTATGATTGTTTTAACCTCTTTGTTTTTTCCCCTATTTTCGTTTGTCCTGTTATTATATAACTCGTATGGGCCATTAAATCTCTAACCAGATCATAACATATCGGATTTGTACTGGGATGGTTGTGATGCTCTTCACCCGTTCTTCTCTCTCAGCATTATTCATGTATACTCAGACGCCATGGCTCCTCGTGAACTTGTAAGATATTTCTTTTACATTTACTTAGCGTTTTTAAATTTACACATATATTTTGTCTTGCCATGACATATTTTCTTTTTTAAATAAAGGAAGAGTATACTAATATTTCTTCATCATGGCTCAGGATTGACTTTCCAACAGTATAATGCTGTTTCGCAACGACTCGGGCTACTATGGCGTTGTTTAGACAGTACTGTGTTCAAGTACTTTCTTGTCCTGCAAATTCTCTTCCATGTAGAACATTTGTGGGATGAAATGGAAAGACGTATACACCGTGTACTAAATTCGTCAGAAAACGGGGCGGTGGGGTAGTCTTGTGGTTAAAGCGTTGGGCTCGTCACGCCGCAGACCCGGGTTCGAATCCCCACATGAGTACAATGAGTGAAGCCCATTTCTGGTGTCCCCCGCCGTGATATTGCTGGAATATTGCTAAAAGCGGCGTAAAACCAAACTCAGTCAGTCAGTCGTCAGCAAACAGTTGTGATCTTGCTGTAGAGTTGCAGTGAATGTGGCAAGCTATTCCAAAAGACTTCCATGTAACGTTGTTCTCGCTGTTCACCTTCGGTCGGGGAGTTATTCGGTTTGTGACAATGTTTCATGTCCCCTGCACCGCATTTGGACCCAATGCAATGTGCAAAAAGCATGCCCTCTTTCGTCTTCTCGTGATCTCAATACCCACCAATTACCGTTTGCATGGAAACTGTTTATTTATTTTTTGTTATATTCAGACTTATCAATACACAGATTCTTTTTGTGGCTAATGAAGCATGATACATAACGGACGCGGGTAGAGTACAACACATTCACAATTACTAAGATCAACGAAGTGAGAGGTTGTGACACAGGTAGACAACCACTCACGTCCCATTTTTGTTTGCCTCGAATAACTCAATTGAAATCAATTTTGCCTTCAAACACAAAGTCTCAACGTCTAATGCAATCGTTTCTTCTAAACTCATGTACCTCCTTGTTAACGCATGAACATAAGATTCTACTTATATCTACGAGGACCTTATTTCATTGGCGCAGATGATACTTTGTAGTCAAATTTTCAGCATTAACATATCAAAAGACCCAGATAAATTTGGCAAAGGAAACATGTTTAAACGAAGAGGTACTTCATTGCATCTTTATGGTACCTCAGTAAAGAAAAGTCAACTTTGAAAGTGAACAAACCTGTCACTTTTAATGTTGCCAGAAACAGGTCCAGTACTACTGTCAACTACTCGAGAAAATATACCTACTAACGTCAACAGTAGATACCTTTTCAGCAGTAGATTTTAATATCATACAACATAAATGTAAGTATCACCTACGTGGATGATACTGATTTTTGTGGCTCTCTCACGCTTCCATAACTGTCCATACTTTGGGTATGCCACAAAGTTGGACATGCAATATTGTGGATTCAAATGCAGAATTAGATTCAGTACTGTACTACCCCAATGATCGCGGGTTTCATCAAAGTCGTAAACATCAGAGACTTACATCACTTCGACCTTTCTAAATCACTTAAGTGCCCACAAGAGTAGTAGATATAATGATAGTCCGAGACCAAGTCCAACAAAAGCCTCTGCAAAGCTTTATTTCACAAATAAAGCTTTTGTCAGACACTTAGATCTCGCCCCAGTATATCTACTACTTTTGAGCCCCCAGTTAACTTCCCGACCCCACGTGGCACTACTGTACCACTATGACGTGTTGACAGGAGGTAACATTGTACCGTACGGTATGATCAATAATTCCTCTCTAACGAAGCCTCTCCCTGGCCCATCTCTCAAGTAGTACAAGTTCGGCTCGTCGGCTTTGATGTCCACTTTATCTATGTTGTAAGTATTGACTGACCATATCGGATCGGTAGCTCGCTTACGACTATCACCCTCGTGTTCCCCCAGCTGGTACAAGGGCCCTATCTGGTATCTGTTTCTCTTTCCCACGCAATGGTGCAGCCGACTCTGCCACTATTGATTTTAGTTTGATAGCGTTTCTTGCCGGTGAGACGGGTGATTTCGTGGTTGATGGCTGACACCACCTGAGGTAGCCGCGCTACCCATTCAGTCGTTTCCCCGGGTTGGTCATCTCTCTCGCATACTGATGCCCGAATAAGCGCTCTGCCAAAGTCCGATTGAATCTCTCAACTATGGCTTGGCTGCGATGAGCCCTGGCAGCACCACGCCTGACCTTGGTATCGTGTTTGTCTAGCAGGTGTGACACGGCGCCCATGAACTCCCGCCCGGGGTCGACTTGCAGCTCTGTGGGCCACGTCAGCAGACTGCGTTTGTACATGCGTTCGAATCCGCGGGCTACCTGGGCCGAGTCTTTCGCAGTCAAGGGTTCGGCTTCCTTGTAGCGACTGGCAACGTCCACGACGGTTAGGGCATACTTGTACCTCTTGTCCTGGGGTAGGAATAGGAGGTCGGCCTGGTGAACACTATTGGGTATGTTAATACCGAACTTCCTTCTCGGCACGTAGCGTGGTGCCGGTAAATAGATCTGCCACAGGGCTTGTTTTTCAAGCCACGCTTTGCCCTCGTTTGGGGGGTACTCGCGCCATTTTGGCCAGCTTATGTACAGCGCTAGCTCCTTTCCAGTACCCACGTGGGCTGTAGTAAATAGCCTCAAACTTTCTTTGGTTCCGTGACATGTCGCCCCGACACGGTATTGTATTTATATATACATCTATGTTCTTGGTTCAATTTTCTCATGCCCGTACGCGTACGTGTTGATCCCATCAATAGATATCCAACGCTTAGTGTCCATAGGCGAGAGGGACGTCTTGGTTATCGTCACTCCGTATATCCTATGCCCATCACTTCTAAGCGTGTTCATCTTATGTCTAAAGGTATGGGTCTTGAACAGGGCTTCCTTGAATCTGGCGTGTTTGATGTGTTGTTTAACCAGGTACTTCTTAACACCCTTCGCCTTCCGGATCTTACCATTGTCGGCCTTCAGGATGGAGTACATCTTGGGTTTCAAGCCTATGTACTCAGCTATGGGCGTGCCAGCACACTCGTCCTTCATCTTACCGTGGTAGTCGCAGGTGTCATACAAATCGAGGCGTTTTTTCATGTCCTCGTACACGGCCTCGGTTCAAGTCTCCATCAGCAGGGAATCCGTGTCAGTGTACAGCACTTCACACCTGTCGCCGTACTGTTTCTTCAGTTCGTTGTAGTGAAAGTCGTACATCAGGTGTTTGGATAAATCGAGGATGCTCATCCCCACGTAAACAGGCCGGTTGAATTTGATGTGGCTTTTCTTCATGTGTAGGGCAACCAGATCGTCGGTGAATATCTTGCTCCGGTTGAATGCCGGGCTGGCTATCAGTCTCCTGAGCTTGTCTTCCTCATTCGACCGAACCAGCTTCATGGTCACGCGTTTCCTCAGGTCCTCCATAGTCTTACCGAACACCGAGTTGTTCATGAGCTTGTAGAGGTTTTTCTCAAAGTCACTGGTGGCCAGCTTTCGCAGGTCTGTGTTCATTCTGATGTAGGGCTCCATCCAGGGGCTCTGGTTGAACACGAGCACCCTGTGTATTTTGGTCAGCCTCATACCCAACGACAGGTACAGCTGTAGGTTGCGATAGTGAACGATGTACTTGGTCTTATTCATTAAGTTGGGCACTAGTTTTTCAACGTCTGCCACCCGCCAACCTAACAAGTTATGTTGGTACTCGGACACCCAGTCTGGGTTAACCTTCATACGTTCGGGGGCCAGGGGGGTAGCTGTTGTGTGATGTGTGCAATGCCTTGGGGTATCAAGTCCACCTCGAGGATATAGCCTTTGTTCGAATCTGGCGCGATGCTCATAACATCGATCTCGTGCGATGCCCATTCGAATCCCCCTGTGGGTAGATACTGGCCCTGCCGTACAGGTTGTTGGCGTCGAGGTAGAGAATATGATTGGTTGGCTTGCTCTGGTCGTAGCCCTTCACGTATTGATTATTGGCTTTTGCGTATCGTTTGGTAGCCATGGAAATCCCACCTCGCAAGCCTTTCTCAATGAATAGGTGAATGTCGTAATCGGTGAGCAATTCCTACGTAACTCCGGTCTTTTTCAGCAATGCATCCCACGACAGACCTGGGCTGGTGTAGTACCATGCGGGGGTCGAGTTGATACTGCTTAAAACACGTCCGCCTAAACGTCTCGAACACGTCGGCTAGCAACAGTACGTCTGTTCTCAAGTACAGGTCGTGGTAGTCACCCAGATTCTTACAGCCCAGTTTATTCCATACGTTAATCGCGTGCGACTAATCGTCTTGAGTGATTGTCGAGTCAGTCAGGTTGCTGTAAAATTCTCTGATGGGGGGTTAGTCGGGTCTCGGCGAACTTGGCCCAGCCATCCATGTACTCATAGGGGTACACACCCTTCCTCATCAGCAGGGGTCGAGTCTCGGCATTGGTGTATCGGTCGGTGATGGGGAAGGTATCGTTGGCCTTGACCAGACTGTCGAGTGACAACAGGAGGAACTGAACCGAGTCGATGAACCTCAGGCCATTCAAGCTGAAGGAGATGTATCACTCCATGTTGTTGGGGATGCACGTCAGGTTGCCGTCGACTTTCGCGATGGCCTGCATGATTAAGTGAGAGTCGTACCCTCTCAAGTTGTGGAAGACCACGGGGATGTTTATTGTCTTCGGGGTGATTCTAAGCTTGAGGTTACACACGCTGTGAGCGGCGCCTCTATACTTACCGGTGACGTGGCAGTGATCTCTCATCGAATCACCGTTCAGTGGTGAGTCACACACATGGCAGTGAGTGCTGCAGGCGTGAGCTAGCCGGTCGGCTTGAGTCATA